AACACACACACACACACACACATAGCACTTTCAATGGGAAAACAAAGTTTTGTCCTGCTGGGTCCCACAGTCAAGGTCAATGAAAACAGACATGCAAAATGCCTGTTGCATGGTAACCATAACAGTGTACAAATATCACTACCATACTTTACACAGGATAAATATTGGTGTTCACACTGCATCAGAATAAACAAAAATATGTCCAAAAACGTGCACTTACATGCATGCATTAGTGAGCACTCCAAGTGCTAACACCTGCTGAACCAATCACACATGCAATTGTTGCATGATCCTATTCAAACCAGCTGAATGTTTTTTTTAACTTGAACATAGCTCGACTATTACAATTTTAGTCTTTTAAATTTAGAATTTAGAATTTAGAATTTTAGATAAATGAGTAATGAGAATTCAGGAGAGATCACAGACTGGACAGTGTATGTCTGACTGAGAATATGAATGATTTAAATAAATGCTGGGGTTTATATACGGTACATGTATTAATGCTTGTATAATGACATTTTGCACCTTCATGGACGAAAAAATGGATTGGTAATAATGTTGTACTTAATACTGTAGACCAAATTCGATTACGATTTATCATTAACTAACAACAGTATTCGTTAGAAGAAAAATCAAAAATTCTAATACATTGATACTTGTAGTGCATTGATTGTTATTGTACAGACCAAATCAACCGATGGCCATGTATAATGGAGAATTACAATGATCTATTAAACAATAACTCAAGTGTTATGATAAATTATAGTCTAGTGTATTTATCAACATACAGTTTAAAACAATTCTAAAATAATGCACCTTCAATAGAACATGTACTATAATAATCTCGAGGTCTCTTATTCAAATAACATGATTTGCATAAAAGTTCCCAAATAGTATAGAAATATACCAAGGCAAACGAAAAGGGGTGGAGTGGGCAAGAATTTTGTACTTTTAGCGAAGAAAAAATGTATAATCCATAAAGAAATTGTATCTGGTTCACTACCCGATTAACAGATTTTGGGGAAGATTTTTACTGACATCTGGTTCTCAAAACCAGTAGTTTAAATGTCTTCATTCTTCGTTCAACAAATGTTCTGTTTTAGCAAAATTGGAGGAATTTTATAAGTTATTCATACCAAAATCGAATACTAAAATCAAAGATATCAGAGTTTGAAATGAGATCACATAAGTACTTCCCGAGTTAGTGTAAACACAAAGAAGAAGTTTATAATGGAAACAACAGCGCTGACAACCATGACGATGACAGACTTTTTTTTTCCCTCTTATAGGGTCCAAGCAACAACTGAGGATATCAGTGTTATAGTAAACCATGCAAGTACATAGAGTGATATACCTTACTTAGACATGTATATTCCTTATTTGGGCATACCGGTACATTTAATCTGGGCTATCACTAGTCTTTCACCAGTCATCAATGGCAAATTTCATGATGATTTGACTACAACAAATCTGAGCCACTTTTGCCACCAATGGTAATTTAAAGGGCGGTGGTTGTCGCACAGCGTTGCGTTGGGTTGGGTTGGGTTGGGTTGGGTTTGATACACACATCGTGTGTAAATTATATTGTTTATATTCAATTCGAACATGTGTTGCATGATGACCACCGTCCTTAAAACGATCCACTACAAAAAATTGTCATTGTTTAAATGTAAATTAAATATTGGGAAAATAAGTGCTCAATATAACGCGCATACTACTGTAGCACATTTCAATTCTCTGCAAAATCCAACAAATTCCATCATTTTCATTTCTTTCGCCAAGTTGGTAACAAATTTTGAAATTGGATATGAAAAACACTGTACATTTAGTATTAACTAATATTGCTTAGACTTCCAATCTTGGCAGAAGCCTACTTGATAGTAGCATAGTAAAAACAATAAGTCTTGGTCAAACAAAAATTTCAAAGTTCATGACATTCTGAGGTGATAATAGATACATGCATACTAATATAGCAGTCTGTTTACATGCGATACTTCAACCTGTCGCACTATTTCAGTGAAAATGTTACTATATTTCTTATGTATATTATTTTAATTATATATTAATTATACCTCCATATTAAAATTAATGAAAATTCTTTTGCTATAAAGAACAAGCAGCCTATCGGCTGAGATAGCTCCGCTGTTAGCGATGCACATTTCAATTAAAGAACTGAAGACATCATCAGAAAATGAACAATATGTATGGTATCAAAGCAATCGGACTTACAGTTTTTAACAAGAAGTCGAAAATATCACTTTCTACCAAAAATGACTAAAATATTCACCAAAATTAGAGAATTGACGATATCATCACGAAATGAACAAATCTGAGAAAGGTCTACATGTAGTATCTAAATATGTAATATCAAAGCAATTGAACTATTGGTTTTTAACAAGAAGTCGAAAATATCACTTTTTACCAAAAATGACCAAAATATTCACGAAAATTAGAGAATTGAAGACATCACAAAATGAACAAATCTGAGAGAGGTCCACATGTAGTACCTATATATGTAATATCAAAGCAATCGGACTTGTGGTTTTTAACAAGAAGTCGAAAATATCACTTTTTACCAAAAATTACAAAAATATTCACCAAAATTAGAGAATTGAAGATATCATCACAAAAATGAACAAATCTGAGAGAGGTCCACATGTAGTACCTATATATGTAGTATCAAAGCAATTACTTGCGGTTTTTAACAAGAAGTCGAAAATATCACTTTTTACCAAAAATGATAAAAATATTCACCAAAATTAGAGAATTAAAGATATCATTACAAAATGAACAAATCTGAGAGAGGTCCACATGTAGTACCTATATATGTAGTATCAAAGCAATTACTTGCGGTTTTTAACAAGAAGTCGAAAATATCACTTTTTACCAAAAATGATAAAAATATTCACCAAAATTAGAGAATTAAAGATATCATTACAAAATGAACAAATCTGAGAAAGGTCCACATGTAGTACCTATATATGTAATATCAAAGCAATTGCACTTGCGGTTTTTAACAAGAAGTCGAAAATATCACTTTTTACCAAAAATGACAAAAATATTCACCAAAATTAGAGAATTGAAGATATCAACATGAAATAAACAAACCTCAGAGAGGTCTACCCAAGGTACATATACACCAAGTATCAAAGCATTCAGGCTTGTAGTTTTCAAGAAGAAGTCGAAAAAGTAAAACATTGACACGGACGACGACGACGGACAATCACTCATATGATAATCTCCGCTCGACAAAGTCGACAGCGGAGCTAAAAATGGTTTTGTGCCAATGCATTTAGTAGCATTGATTCACATGGTGATTTAATGTCACCATTTTAAATTCACAAATTTGCCATCAGAACAATTAGTTATAATTGTAATCTTAATGTTCACCTGAACTAACAGTAAGCAAACAAGATTGGTTTTTGTGCCATTGCAATGTAACAGTTACTATATTTGTTTTGATAGAAGCACATTTGCAATATTTTGTTCTAGCTTAATTGATAAGCAATACTGCTTGATGTAAAGCAATGTTGTTAGCACACGCGCTGCTCTTGAAAAGAAAACTTTACTTTGCGTACTTGTGTGTTTGTATATGCAAGTAGCGAATTCCAGTGAAAAACTTTATAATTGATAAAAATAGAATATAACTCATAATATAAATGACCTTGGAGAAATACACTATATATACATACAATGCAAAAAAAATCTTCACCACAAATGAAACACATCAGTAGACATTTTTCAATGAATAATTTCAATATGTATACTTCAATCAACTGAACCAACAAGATATTACTGTTTTAGAAGTTTAATTAAATATGTTCTTGCGTCAATTGTTCTTGACAAAAACAATCTCAACCAACTTCCCTCACTCCCTCCCTCTTGAATTATCATGCAACACTGTCAGAACACCATGTCTGTCAATAACTTTATTTCAACACTATTTTAAATATTGTTATTGAACAACCAGACAAGAGAATCAGGTTTGATGAATAATAAACTTACACGTAGATACTTATTTGAGTAAGAATAATCAATGGATTTTGACCGATTCACTGCACACAGATTGTGGGAAAAAGGAAACAAAACATTTCTGAAGTAGATATGCCATGAAAAATAAATCTACCCAATGTGTACTTTTCTACTTGACATACTTTACAGTGTACTTCAAGTATTTATTGTAATTAAGCGGCCAACAGAAGGCACTGTAATATCATGATACTGTTCTGAATGTTGAAAGACGTATAAAATGCACTTCTTACCTAATTGTCTGGATGCTTTGGTTTCACTGGCAAGCTCTCCTAATTTGACAATTGATTCAAAATAAGACCTTGCCGCAAGTGACACTCCTACAAATAGTAATAAACATGTATTTCAGAAAAGAAAGAAGCTACTTTGTACGTTAGGTAGAGAATTCTAAATGTTGGGGTGTATGTTCTGTATTGCAATAATATGTGTATTTTGCGTTACCTATAGTTATAAAACCAATTTAAAGCGTTAAGTCATTTGATACAAACAATTAGAACGCAATTATGCAGCTAATTTTGTACACAAAAACACTTCATTTTAGCTGGAATAAATTTTCACTGAAAGGACTTTTTTGTATGGAATTTATTTTTACTGATTTTTGATGAGTTGAATCATAAAACTAAACCACAGGAAGAACAACCACTTAGTTTCCTTTGAACTATGATAGTTGCCGCGATGTCGAATGTTTATTTTGACTGTTTATTTCGTCGCATTAAAAAATAAGCCAATTTACCAAATGAATGTTAATCTCCGACTATCGGTCATTTTCGGAGTCAATCGGGCGACTTCGGTAAATCACATGATCGGATTGTTTTGGTTATAGCATAAAAAACAAGACAAAAACATTGATGTTTTGTAGTTTCAGATATGAAAATTTTTTTTTTTCAAGTTTTCAGTCCCAGCAAAG